ACTATTTGGCTGCTTCCAGTTCACAGTTTATTTCTTAATATAGGTCAATCTACCCGTCTGGTAAATTTGGCCGATTGTGTGTTTAGAGTATGCAAACTCGGCCCGACGAACCGTTACGTGTAAACTACATCACAATATCTGATACTCAGTTAATACTTTTTTATTCTTCTGGCAAAAATACCCAGGAAGGTTGATAACGGCGTATTTAACATTTTCCCCCACGAAGAATCATATAATTTTGCAGTCCGGCTACACAAACTGCCCTTTGCGTGCTGTGTATTTATACGGCTAAATGTGCACTATATTTTAACTACAAATTATAAACGTAACAACATTATACAACGAATTCCAAAAAGGCGAAGTCATTCTGGCAAAGTGACGTGTCTGAGGTTAAAATGATCGAAAAATCTTTTATGTAAACTATTTTCAGGCATTTCACTCACGCGCCGTCATTCTGTTACTGTCCGCGAAAAGAAAAAAAGCTTCATAACACCTTGCAAAATTATGACTGACAATCAAAATATGAATAAAATTTCAATTTTTTGAAAGAAAAATGAACATTGAAATGACTCGGCAATAAAATACACTTATTTTATTTTAATTAATGTGGGAAGAAAACGTCATTTACAAAAACAGCCAATTTAAGTTCACAGCATAAAATTGGAAAGAAAAAAATTGCGCATTTGCTTCCTAACTAATGCAATAAAATGCTTTTTAACCAGAAAACAGTAAAAGAAAGTCGGTCGATCGGATTGGAAAAAAAACTAAAAACAAAATCCCAAGAAGTCTCGGAATAGTAGGCCCTGGTACCCCAGGACCACGTTAAAAGTTAACATTCACATATTTCGATTAATAAAAGGCACAATTATATACTGTAAAAAGTGTTCATGTTTTTGTTCCTGTTGTTCTCTTTGCTGTTACTATGCTCATTTTTCAGATTAAAAGAATTATGTCAAGTGTAAAATGGTTTAACTACGTCGTTACTTTTTTTTTTTTTTTTTTTTTTAATGCCAAAAATTTGGGTCGGTCGGACGACGCTAAAAGGAGAAGAAAAGAGGATGGCCTTAGCTGTTAGGTAATAAATATGAACTGTCAAAAATCTCTGAAAAACGTAGGAAAGTTGGTAAAAAAAAGACTCCGCATATCTTAGCCGAGTTTAACAATTATCCAGAAATTTTTAGCCTTTCTGGAGCTGTAGATATTTCGAGGTAGTATAAATTTGCCGCTTGTAACAGTTATTTTGCAGAATCAAGTCAATGGGTGCCCCTGTAATGAGATGCAGTCTAACTTCGCTCCATTGCGCGTATCTTCAAGCCACCTGAGACGCTAATGACATACAGCAGGCAGTTGACCAAAAATGGTCATACCAATCGACTGAGGAACTCTCTATTCGTACAAATTGCTCAAATTGTACGAATCGCAAAACAATTCTTTGACAAATCGTATTGTTTTACCAATGGCACGATTGCCGTGGGTGTTTTGACGAATCCGTATGTGTATATATTCTTCAGGGCACGTGTGAGACATACCGGACCCACTGATTTCTTGGCTTGGTGAGTTGGCCATTTCCGAGTTCCATTTCCAGAGTTCTGTGTAAAAGAGTTTTTATTTGCATGAGAATTAAAAAGTTATTTTCATATTATTAGCTTTCGGCACTTGGCTTCGCTTTGAAACAGAGGCTTGGAGTAACTCGGAAATGGCCTATTATTTATCAAAATTCCTCACACGATTACCAGAAGAAACAAAGAGCGCAGAGGAGTTACTTGTGACCTTAATTGCCGTCAAATTTTGCAGTTGAAGGTGCAAATCGCCTTACTTTTTACTGAGAATCGAGGTGTATAAACTTGAACGGTCAAACTCTCACGTGAACTTGTTACAAACCTGGTAAAATTATCTAGAGTTCCGGAAAACTACAAAAGGTAATATCACGTCTAATGAAGAGACTTTTTTCTCTGCACTTTGTGCCCCTCTTCACCGCTCACTGGACGGCTTTAACAATGCAGCCAGTCCTTTCAGACGTCTATCTAGGAAGTTTGTCGCTGGAGGAGACGGCTGAAATTCAGGCTACACATTGTGAGGTCATGAAGCTGACCTGTTTCAACGATCAATTATTTTTTTGTTTTATTGGGTGTGACCACATTGAGACAACAACTCAAACGCGGTGAAGGAAAGGAAAATACAATTGAGAGATCTTAATTACATGCGACGAGAAATGTACTAAGTAAAAAAACTAGAAAATTACAACAAGCGAAATAATAAACAAAATAAAAGAGGAAACGAAAGAAAGACTAATACCTTGTGAGCCTATTATAAATTTGTCCAGAAAAAGCAAAATCCATCGCTGAACTAGCGAGCGAAGTAATCTCTGACCGCCGAGCTAACGATTCTGCCACTTAAAAATAACGGCTTGGTCACCTGACCCCAAAAGGGCGCGAAAATTACACTACCGCGCGGTCCTGGGTTGGCTAGTAGCCACATTGGGTTTGACAGGAATTTGTCTCTGATGAGATGCTGTTTTACCTCAGTTTTCTTTTGCTCTGTGTGGGGGACCTGGAGTGGGAAGTTTATGTGATGAACCTGTTTTGGAAAGAATCTGCTCCATTCCTCCAGAATCGGCGAAAGTACCTGACTCGGTGTATGTTGTGGCCTGCGTAGCAGGTGTCGAAAGGGGTAGGGGATAGGGAGGAAGGGGAAAAGGGAGGGGGATTGGGGAGAGAGGGAAGAACGGCGCTCCCTTCCTTTTACCCTTTGGCGCTTTTTTCCCTCCCCTTTTTATGTCTACCACGCAGGTTATGTACGCTGAATGTTTGAAATGAATGAATTGTATATGATGCTATCTTTGCTTGTAGTGTTTTTTGGGTACTTAATTCTGTTTCGGCTGATTGCCACATTACAAATGGCGGAGATCAAAAATTGTTCAACTTCTATTTCTAAGAAAAAAATGCCTTGTACACAGGTTTTTCCTCTCTTGTCAGGTATTTCGCAAAGCAGAGCCCTCTCCATTAGTGTTGTTACTTTCCAAGAAGATTGCCGATTTACTACACATGTAGGGCATAAGCCAATTAAAGCTAATAAATGTCTTTTTATACTGAGATCGTTAAGGAAGAAGGGTTATACTCAGACAGAATTATACCATCTGTTTCAAAATCGTTATACCTGGTTTGACCTATGGACTATCGGTCTACGGTGCTGTTAATGCAGGTCTATATTGAACTATAATTCTTTAATTAGGATTTGCCAAAATGAATTTCTTCTTTGCTCAGATAACTAATCCCATGCTCATAAGCCTTTCTTAAAAATTCTTCGAGTTACATCAGTTTCAGCCGTAGCACCACAATAGGGGGATATCATTATATTCACCTAGCGCTCGCACCAGTGGTTACCAAATATCAATTTAATAGTCCTTCGTGATCAAGATCACCCTATTTTATTACACAGCAAGGCACTAACTACTAAAGAGACAGTTGACTAAACTTGTTATATAAAACACAGCCAGCTGGAATTATTGCTAAAATACTCACAAATCTGTTGTGCGAGAAAGTACAAAAGGGTGACAGGCCGCACATCTATACGGGCGTGGGACCCTGTGTTAACCTTTTTTTTTTGGCTCTTACGAGCATGTCCTTTAATGATTTTCCTTTTTTGTAAGGAAATGATTGGTGGTTCTTTAAAAATTTATTGAGGTTACAGTTGGTTTTGTATAAGATTCCATTTTTTCATTCAAGCTTCCGTTATAGTAGACACTGAGGGTTAGTATTGTGTCACGAATGGCAATATTTCTTTTTCCTCCTTGTTGTTTTGTTTTAGGAGTTTAGACTCCCTTGTGTGAATTTTATTTCTGATAGTATATTTTCTATCAAAGTTTGTGACGCGAGGAGAAATGTGTGTGCAAGAAGGTTTGTCTTTGTTAAAAATGAGTCTTTGCATCAAGGATAGATTTTTTCTTGAATCTTGTGCCTTTGTATACAACCGTGTCTAAAAACGCAGTCTCAGTGTCAAATGTTTCGGCCATGAATTCAATAGTTGGGTGATGTAAGTTTGTTTGTTCCATGAAGGCTTCGATGTCTGGTTTACTCATGTCCCATAGGGCAAAGATATCGTGTATGTAGCATTTCCAAACTGTTGTTCTAAAGACAGTTTTGCTTAGAGTTGTTGTTTCAATATATGTCATGAAAATATTGGCAAAGGAATCAAATCTGCTGTCTTTGTGCCCATTGCAGTTCCATGGTTTTGTAGGTAGTGCCTTCCATTGAAGTGGAAGAAATTTTCTTTGAGGATCGATTAATCTAAGCATTTCCGGCAAGTAATGTGTAGGAATGGGTTGTCTTTGTAGAAATTTTCATATGCTTTGTGACAGACAATTTCAATATACCCTTGTTTTGCTGTATATTTGTGTCAAGACTCATAACGTCCATCGAAACAAGGAATGTTCAGTTTTTCACATTTGTCTTTTCAGTGAAAGGTATGATTTCTGTGATTTTGATATCGGTTGTAGCAGTGTATCAACAAATTTGTCAAGCACAGAACAAGGTTTTATTGGATTATTAAGAGGAAACCAAACATCCATGTTTTAACTAGGGGGTGGGTCATGCAATTTCCAACCTTGCTTTAGGGGTGGGTCAGTCATTTTTGCGCCGAAGGGAGGGGGTGGGTCATGTGTTTTTTATCAACCACATTTCCAAATGCTCCGGCCCACCCCCCTCCCCTCCTATACTTTTTGACCAGCTCAATATAAAAAACGCAACAGGTGTATAGTTTGCAAATCAGACGAGGGGAAATGTTTGAAAAGAAATAAATAAAGAACATTTGGTTATATTAAAGATCAGTTTAATAAGGTGGTACAAGTTTTATACTGTAACATACAGGTCTCAATATTAAATTGACAAATTAAAATGTATTTCTTTTTTCATTGCCTGGTTTATAAAAAAATATTATCCTGGCTTAATCAGTGTTATATTAAGTGACTGTAACGTTTGAAGCTGAATACGATGCTTCAGTTTTTAGGTTGTTTCGTAAAATGTTTCTACTTCGTCTGGAGTAAAATAATAAGTGCCTGCCAGAAATGTCTTGGTAAAGGTGTCTCCAAGGCTGTACCCACTTGGTGCGCTGTAAGTATAGCCAAGGTTAGTAGCGGAACTGCTACTGGATGACGCGTAGTTGGCAATGTAAATGTCATGGCCTCCACCGAAAATAGGTCCATGAGACGAGCAGGCGTATATTGAATAGCGGTAAGAACTATACTTCCCTGTCTGAGGCAGTTTCACAGGTGCCCATCCTGGTTTGTTCACCAGCGAGAAAAGGAATGCCTGGGAATCATAACGATAGTACGAGCAGCTGTAACCTGCTGGGAAAATAAGAAATGAAAAAGATGACTAATGCACAGACTTCGTTCAGAAATTCGAATTCTTACAGACAAGAAAATATACTGATAACTGATAATAGTAGTTTAAGTTCCTTAGCAAAGATCGATGAAAAGTGTGATTTTAATACTAATTTTATTCTTACTTAAAGGTCAAATGAACCAAAATTTCGATCTTTTTTATTTTAGTTTAATTCTAGTGAAATGTGTTTAATATGAACCAAATAAACATACTATGAAGTTTCAGCTCAATTGAAGCAAGTATCTCCGAGATATTCGCAATTAAAAATTGCTGTTTTTTGGCCCTTATCTTCGTAGAGCGGTCGGAAAAATTGTCGGAAAAAACAGCTTGTGACGTCAATGTTGGTCAGGTGAAAAAAAGCGGGAAATTCAAAACAAAAGTTTTTCGAGTCGACTTAGCGCAGAAGTGGTTTGTGCGGCCATAAACCGGGAAAGAACAGGTAATTTGTCTTCAAAAGTTGCAAGCTGTGGTTATAACCTTCTTATTATTTAATTTTCTCGAAGAATACATCATAGTAAAACGGAGTTTAACGACATTTACTAATTTCCTTGAGTTCTACTGGAAATGTGCGTACGTAAGTCCGATTTTTTTCAAGATGCATTCACAAAATGTGTTCATATAAGGAAGTTCCTGGATATATAAGGTGCGGAGCTCCACCGTGGACACAAAAGCAAAATATCTTTGTATAATACACCTTTTGCTGTTCATTACGAGAAAATACGCAATCATTTGCGTGAAACGGCGACCAATATTGCCAAGATACATTCATTAGCGCGAAAATACGAACATTTGGGCATAAATCAAATTCAATTACGATTTTTGCATTTTAATCAACATTCAATAACACTTTTGGGCATTTTTATGCGTCATTGGGCATGCAAAAGAAATAAATACACTTTCATTAACGCCAACATGAAAGTTATTAACAACATCTTGAAAGTCAATAGGGACAACTGACATACATTAAAGTAGAAGCACTAATTTTTTTACGACAATGTTTACAATTCAATAGCATTCCTGGACAACCTTAGGATTGATAAGACAAACATTAATGCGCTTGTACAATCAATTGAGTGTTCTTTACGTTTAATATACAAAACTCGATTTTCAATTAAGCAATAGAAACTCAAACAAATTTGGCCCGAATTTCAGTCCGTTAAATCTGTATCCCTCAAAAACCTCGCTATTTAAAGACCCCCTTTAAACACTTTTGGAGGTAGGTTTGCATGAAATCGTACACCTTAGCACATTTAGCTGCGGTCACAATGTCATGTTTCTGCGCAGAGCTTCAAGCACTGCAGTTGTTGTTTCCGAACTCCGCTAGTGAGATTGCAAGGGCTTTGCCCCCATTCCGGTTATACATCGTTAAATTTCCGGACTCGAGATGTTGGCCTTTGGTGTCGCTTTCAGACAACTTAAATCCTTTTCAACGATGCCGAGGGGAAAGCATAAGCTGTGTACATATGGGGCGGAATGGTCAAATCTAGGTGGGCTGGCACCCCGTCATACGCAAAGACCACCGACTTACCGGGATCCAGTTTTTCCTCGCCCGTGCCAGAAGGTCACCGAAAAACCGACACAGTATTCATTACTCCAGAAGCTGCCGAGGAATACATCTGATAGTCAATATTGCTGTGGTCATAGTCAAGTTTCGTCCTCGTTGGCCGAACACTTGGCGGTACGCCTTCCACCCCCTGTCGCACCCCACCATGACTTCTGGCCGTCTAGGGTAAATATATAGCCGCAGCCGTCGACGAACACACAGTGGCGAAGTACGGAGTGATTCTTTAAACATATTCAGGCCAATTTTTTTTCTGTTGTTTCATTGAAAATATATTTTTGTATATTGAATGTAAAGAACGCTGAATTGATTGTACAAGTGCGTTAATGTTTGTCTTATCCATTCTAAAGCTGTCCAGGAATGCTATTGAATTGCAAACAGTGTCATAAAAATGTTAATGAATAGCGTTTACACTTAAATGTTTGTCTATTGTCCCTAATGATTATCAAAATAATGTTAATAACTCGAATGTTGGCGTTAATGAAAGTATATTTTTCTCTTTTGTATGTCGAATGACGCAAATGAATGCCCAAAAATGTTATTGAATGTTGATTAAAATGCAAAAATCGTTATTGAATCTGATTTATGGGCAAATGTTCGCTTTTTCACGCTAATGAATGTATCTTCGCGCCGTCGGTTGCCGTTTCACGCAAATGAATGCGTATTTTCTCGCAATGAACAGCAAAAGGTGTAATCTGCCCAAAGAAATTCAAGTTTGCCCACAATGTGTTTGAAGTCACTGAACTTTGTCGCACTCGAGTCACTGGAGTCACTGCCATTGCCAGAAATCGTGGACTTTTCGCGCCCGTGATTAATAGTCAGCGGAATCTCATTTTCAAAATGACGGACAAAAACGATCGCGGTCAGGGAAAGCGTATCCCCTGCGATTTTTTAAATAATTTGGGCTCTGTGGATCTGTTTTACGAAGAAAAAAGCTGGAATAAAACACCTTGCAAGAAAATGTTAGGTTTATACTCGGTCGAGCGGCTGATAGCGACAAAACAGTACGCGGATGTACCTTTCGTGACATTTTCGTGACAATTTTGTTTTAAAACCAAGCCTGGTAGGCTAATGGAGGATTTTTGAATGCCTGGAACCTAGTTTATATCCCGTGAAGCATCTCTGGAGTTGTAACAACAAACAAAATGGCGATTCGGTGAGGTTTGGAGTTGTGAAGCTTTGTCCGACCGAAATGTGTCATTCGCAACTATGGCGTCCATTACTGGACTACAGATGGAAAACTGAGGGAAATAATGCGCCTTTGGAAGTATTTTGCAGTGCCAAAATCGTCCTTTTTACAACTGTTTAGGAAACATCTTACATCGCAGAAGTGATATCGAGTCGTGCAAATTTGCTTCATTGAAGGGTTTATCCTCTAATCGACGAGTATTTCGCATGACTTCGGCAAGATTTTAAGACAATGTATGGAGAAATGGAGCGTACAACGAGAGATAAAAGTGGCCACTTCGGGAAGTAAGTAAACCTACTTCTAATTAGCCATTTTTGACCCAGATGCGAAGGTTACACAGCACTTAACATGTTTCGAGTCGTGCACCGAAGACCCGTAAGCTCATAATCGATATATTTGAACGAGTTTCCTTATCTCCATACATTTTCTTGTACGAATTCGCAGTCATTATGGCCTTAGTGCGCACGCGCAAGCGCCATCTTGTCCCTAATTTCTGGCAATGCGGCAGTTGTCGTTCTCCGCTACTTCACAGCGAGTGAGAGGAAAATTTGCCTACAGAAAGATAACAAAACTACGTAATTAAAACTGAAAAAACTAGAGGAAAAAAACTCTGACTATTATTACTTGAGCAACAGAAAAATGATCGAAGTAGTCTTTTCTTCTCGACTAAGCTTGCTGGCCTTCTAAAGTTCCGCGGACCGAAGTTTTAAGCGCTCAAGTTTGTTCACTCGTAAGCGTTAACATTACTATACCTGCCAACTCTTACGCCTTAGGCGTGAGTCTCACGCCTGCGGGTTGAAAACTTCGATCTCACGCCGGCTCACGCCTACGAGCCAATTTCTCACGCCTGATTGAAAAATGTGAGTTGTTGCCTTCCTGCTTGACACAATTTCCAAAAATACGTTAACTCAGACCCATGTAAGGAACGAAAACCATGTGTAAAATTAATAAATGGCAATACCTTCCTCGCGATCTCTGATTTTTGAAGTGAAAAGCACTGGGAGCGAGCTCGCCTTTGGCAGACTTCGGCAGACTTCGGACGTCTTCGGAAGACTTCAGACTTCTTCGGGAATCTTCGGAAATGATCGTGTCGTCTTCAAAAATCCCAGCACTCTCAGGATAAAAATCTCACGCTTATATCTCAGAAAAAGTTGGCAGGTATACATTACGGTTCTTAGACATACGACAAGGATAAAGCTGGTTCTTCAAAGGTAAATAAATCTGGGCATGTAAAAAAAACTAACCGTAACAACTAATAACAGAATACAAGCGGGTTTTAATTAAGTTTGGCGAAAGAAGGCGAAGAACTGGACAGATATAATCGATTCACAAATCGAATGCACAGTTATCAGAAAACTACAAACCTCTTTGGAAATGTTCAAAACGTTTTATTCCTCCTCAGACGGACGGATGATCTGTTTTTACTCTAACATTGGTTGTTCTGAATCCAAAGTAATTTTCAAGTGACGAAAAAACACCACCAACAAGAAAAACAAAAAAAGAAGCCTTTACAATGAGCAAACGTTCGCACCTCGTGTATTTCATTCAGTCTCAGTCAGAACTCTCACAGAACTAGACAAACAAACGCAGGCGATAAGGGATGCGCAGAAGCTTGCGCAGAACGTTTTTCCTCCCTGAAAGACCAACATTGACGTCATAGTCTCCAGTCTATCACGCGGCCATTTCAGAAACGTTTTCGTGAAGTCTTCGGAAATGCTCGGATTTTGATCTTTTATCTTTCTATAAAGGCTTGGGAAGAAGAAGTTTTACCCAAGTCTCACTTAGGATGGTTCTTTTTAGTGTTTGGTGAAGGTAAAGCGACAAAAGAAAATATGTCAATTTTTTGGTTCATTTGACCTTTAAGTATATACTTTTGGAAGGAAGAAACTGCTTCTTATTTAAAAAGCTAAGACGAAAAAAAAATATTGCAGTATATTGATGTAAGTGAGATAGTTCAGTTTGTGAAAGCTGCCATCATAAGCATTAGTGTACACTTAAAGATATCAACCTTCTTTGTGGTCAGTCACGTTTTGAGTGCTAAGGTGTCCCCTGAATGGAGGTTAAATCCAGGTTTCAGGACCAAGAAAACCTGTCACTTTCCCTTTCTTAAAATTGTCCGTTGTTATTTCCTTCTAGAGTTTTAGTGGTAAATATAAATAGTATATAGATTTAGCCAGGGCTAAAAGCGAAGCATTCGATAAAATTTATAGTTTGTTCAAACAAAATATAAAATCGTGTAGTGCTAAGCGGGAAGGCAACGCCGGAGAACGGTGAAAAATAACAATCGGTCTAATTAGCAAAAATAGCAACTTTGCACGTACAGCACCCTTTTTTTGTACATTTCTTTGCCGTTGTTTTGCACGACTACAACGTGAAACTTGCAGAAACTTCTTTAGTTACACGTTTTATGGAGGAAATGTCGTACGTGTTCTTGTTCAATTTTGTTTTTCACTGCCCGCTCATTTTTACCTTGTATTGGTGGCCACTAGCATTTCTCATTTTGTCACCGCCGCTACAAGATTTTGATGTTGTTCTTTCCAAAAATAATGTCTCCTCTGTTTTTTATTTCTCGCTCTAGACCTCTGTCGCCCTTTTTCTCGTTGAGCGTCGCTGGCCTGCCGCCTACTTTCTCTCTTTCTCTGTCTTTCTCCTGCTCTATATTCCAAATTTGTTGCAACAAGAGAAAAAAAAAACTTGTGCCTTATTTTGTGATGGAAAAAAAAAAGGATGATAAGAGAAATGCCGGGGATTTAAAAAAAAAAACTGAGCTTAAAAAAAATTCCGTTCCCTTCCTTATTTATTTTTATTTTAATTGATCGTTGTCCGTCAAGGCTGTCAACGATGACAGCTACCGCAACTAGTCGGAACGTAAATTATTTACCATGACGTTGCACGACTACGACATGAAACGTCCTAATTTCACGTTCTATGGAGTACCTGAACGTAAGACAACGATTTTTATTTCTTTTTCTAAACTTTCACAGGGACCTTTGGAATTTAAACCCGAAAAAAGAACTTCGCCAGCATTTGGCAAATTGAACGAGATGCAATAAGGGCGATTTAGGAATAAATTTTGAAACGCAGCGTGAATACAATATTTAAGGGCCGGGGGGGGGGGGGGGGTGCAGGTTGGTATGGTAATGGCCCACTTATTTGGGCTAACCCGCCTTTCCATATCATCTCTCATTTAATTTGATCACGTTTACATGGTAGGTGAAGTGACCCTTCAAGCTGGCGGTCGGATTCGTGGTACATCAAATTCGCGCAAAATTCACTTTGGCGGTGGCTTTGCATCATAAAGGTAACAATAGAAAGCCACAGCACTGAAGGTTGCAGTAAGTGCAGCAAGTGAGTGTAGAAGTGCATTAATCGCTAAAACACGTGGTTTGCCAGCACTTTTCTTATTTACATGTTTAGCGACCATTCAATATTCTTGAGAAAGTGCACCCCGGGATAGTGGGGTTGTAAGATTGCATGTAAATGATGGTTATTTTTTTATCCCACCTGCATTGTAGGCGGGTTACATCACCTACCTAGGGTCTCCCACCTCCACGTAAACAGGCCCTAAGTGATATTTTCGCTGGCCTTCCCGTCGTGGTTGCTTAAGCTCCTAATAATTCACAAATGTCTGATGGTAAGCCGTAACAAAAGTGATTGCAAAAAAAGAAGTAATAAAAAAAAATTGCCATTACAAATTCTTCCTTACACAATTTTACATGCTATCACGCTCAGGTTTAGAAAATCTTTCCACTTACTCCAAGAGACGCTGGTATACCCTCCAAATATGTACTTTCCCCCGACTCTTATTATTGTTACAGTTGGTCCTTTGTTGTCACATCCGCTGTGAAAAGTACTGGCAGCCCAGCCGTCCACGGACGCACGCCAACAACGCTTCCATCGTGAAGATTTGCTCTGAGCAACTGGTTTGAGCCACGTGCTTAAATGAGTTAAGTAGTTAACATCATTCCCCACAATAGCGGAGCCTGTCAATCCTCCTACGAGATATAAACAAAAAATAAGCAATAGTGATGTAGAGAGCCATTTAATTTAACCGGATTTAGGAAACAGCCTAAGACCGGAAGTTGCCTTTATCCGAGGCCTAAAAAAAACATGACGGCTTCAAGAACAAAGAGGGACACTTAAAAATTTTATTTTCTTGCGTTGGTCTCAAAATCGTTAATATAGATACACATTTTTCAGAAATACAACAGTACCAGGTTAACCTGAGTCTACTTCAATGAATACTATTTTAAATTCCTAAACGAGTTAAAAACGTCAATTCAATACTAAATATCAAAGCTCCACCATTCCAGCACGAGAGCTGATGGAGGAAAGGAAGTGTGAAATCAATGCTAAAAGGAGAGCCGCTGCAAAGTCCCGGATTGACAGGATTGACGAATCCTGATCTCCTGATCTACTCCAAGCGGTGCAGCGGACAAGGGACAAGGGAGTCCGCTCGTGGCTGAACGCTATTCCAATCGAAGAACACGGACTGGCTTTGAACAAGCAGGAGTTTAGGGACTCCCTTTGCCTTCGCTACAACCTCCCTCTCCCTAATCTCCCTAATTACTGTGCTTGTGGAGAAATGTTTACTGCCAACCATGCGTTGTCATGTAAGAAGGGAGGTTTTGTAGCTCAGAGACATGATACAATCCGAGATCTTCTGACGTCACACATCAGTAAAGTGTGCAGAAACGTGGAGACAGAGCCACTCCTGCAACCAGTCGACAATGAAGTATTCAACCTTCAGTCCACTGTTACAAGGAAAGACATCGTTACGGTGTTTTTGAAAATGACGCCGATATTAGGCGCCTTATTTGTTCGTGAATTGTTCGTGTTGCAAGGCGTTGCAAATTTTTATTAGTTCTTAAATCCAAATCCGTAGATTAAGCTGTGGAGGATTCCAAACTTTAACTGAGCGAATCAGTCTTATCTTTGCAGTTGTTTGTGTGACATTTACAGGGCATTTCCTTTGCTCTTTGTAATAGTCCATTTTCGAGTTCGTTATGACCGCTGAATTAAAGAAGTGACGCATTTTTTACAGCCTTAGCCTCCGTCTGAAGTAATATGTTCACAAATTCCAACGAGAAAAAGACCTGTTTATTACTCTGTCTATTGTGTATATTCAAATTTCAAACACTTACTTGCCAGAATTTCTGAATATTTTACTTTACGTCGAGGCTAACCCTGTATGAATGTGTCGTTAATGTTTGTACTCAGCGGTAATTTTTAATTCGAAACTGGGCTATTGTCCGTGAATGTGATGATTTCCTGCTCTGCTGGGTGCACAGGTAACCCAGACTCTGTGATAGTACCACAGTACCGTTCCAGTAAAATTACAGTGTTTGTATGGGGTAAAAATACGATCCTAAAATTTATAGGAAATACTAAATAAAGATCAATAAAACTTACTCTGCAGTTAGTTGTTGTTGTCCTTAATGCTCCAACAAAGTATCGTGATAATTTGTTCAAATTCTCTCTATACACAATAATAATGTACAAGGAAGGAGACACGAGATGCCATTTTCGCCGTCATGCTCCCTTTCAACACAACTTTTTCCACGAAATTCGAACTCCAGCGGGAAATAAACATGCCAGGATCGTGGAAATAGGATAGGAGCAGATATAGAAACCAATGGAGCTTTCCCAGATAGAGAAACGAATCCTACAGACTTTGACAATTTCGAAGGATATAATCCAAAAAGACCGAGAACATGCTCCCCGAAGTAGCCGGGCCATATCAACGCGCGGCCAAGAAAATGAGGCCTGGGCACTGTACAAAAAAAATCCATCCTGGAAGTCCTGGGGTTACCGGACCGATACATGATTTGCCCAAAGCCATCCTCCCCAGCTAAAAATCCAGCTAAACCCTGAAACTATCAAAATTCGAGATCCTGATCCTGGAAGTTTTTCGATTTGTGAAATTTACTGAAAATTTAGGACTTTGAACTTTTTTCAGGTCGACTGCCGGTCAAGGTTTTCAAAACACTACTCTAGATGACCGGTAGTCCTATATTTTCAGTAATTTCACAAATCGAAAAAACAGGCACGCGAAATATGATAGTTTCAGGGTTTAGCTGGATTTTTGCGGTTTGTGAAATTTACTGAAAATATAACCTGAAAAAAGTTCCAAGTGTCACAAATATGGTTTCGTTTTCTGAGCCCAGCGTAAACCAAACGCTAAACTTGAGATTTATGAAGCATTTCAGGATCGTTTGACTTTTTTAAATCGATTAAAATAGTTAAGATTAACTGGATTTTCGATTTTCGATTGACTGAGAACATGTAGCACCGCCGGTCATTTAGTGTTTTGAAAACCTTGACAGCGGCGAATTTTATTTTTGCGGCTGGTGTCACGTTGAGAGGTCATGAAGCTGACCTGTTTCAGGCATATTGATTTCAAAGTTATTTCTTGTTATTTATCTATGATTTTGTTTCTTACAGGATTTATCTCTGATGCGATGTAGTTTAAGTAGTTACTTTGGCTTCGGTTCGAGGATCAGGACGTTTATATGATGAGTTTGTACTGTGAAGAATTCGCTCCACTCTTCCAGAGTGCACGAGTGTTTGCTGAATAAATTATTTTATTTATGCTATCTTTCCGTGCAGTGATTTCGTACTACTTAATTTCGTTTTGGCCGATAGCCGCATTACAAGTGGCGGCAATAAAAAATGTTTCACTTCTACTGATCTCCAGTAGCTCTCGGCCAGATTCACTTTGTTTTGGTTTTGATCTCAACCAATCACAACGCACGATACTTATATCCTGAAATGGATATCTCCACGACTGCTTATGGTTTCATTTATGCATTCAGTTTCGGTGTCTTTTCATTCTTTTGCAGCAGGGATTAGGCAATCACACCCTCTGCTACACCACACCCCTGATTTAATTTTTACATGAAGGAACATGAAAATTTTGAGGAAAAAACACCGACAAAAGGAGGGGAGTTGGTCCAAAATTGTTCCATCTTATTCAGCGACATGCCCTGTTGGAATGGTGCCAAAGAACAGCATAAAAGACAAATTGAGGATTTAGTTATTCCTAATATTATTTTATTACCATAACTATCATTAACTTTGGCTTATAAATTTACCATAGCAGGACATACTAGCACTCGAAAGCTGGTCCGAATGACTGATCATTTTTGTTGTAAACTTGCACCAAAATTTGAGGCACTTTACAAGAGTCTGAGATTGCTCACTCAGATTACCCTTACTCGTTTTTCATGCATCTTTTCTAAGTTAACAGGTTGTTCCTAAATAGAGCTGAAATAGCTGAAATCATTGTGACCTTTCAAACCAAACTTGTACTGTCCCCTTGACGATCAAAAACCACCCCAAAATAATATAAACAATGCTTATCGAGAGATTACAAATAAAGAAAAAGGTATCAAAATTCTTTTGCTGTTCAGATCTTTTTTGATGGTTTGTTTATTTATTTTTGGTTGGCACGAGGAAAGCGCCGCATAACGGCCGGGAGTTTTGAAAACTTCATGCAGGCTTTGCTTTAACCTTTCGGAACCTGTTTCTAAGGTTAGGTTGCATTTACGTTCTTTATGATATGTCGAGAGTAATTATTTCTTGTCACTTACTATTCCAGTTTTCAAGATTTGACTGAGACGCGCGATGTATGGTCTCCTCAGGTCCCAACACTTGTTTACTTAAGGTAGCGGAAAAATTCTCGATAAAGGGAAAAGTAAGAGGTACAGCTGTACTGCTATGTCCCATTTTCTGTTGTGAAGCCCTATTTTGTAGGTTATTTTAGTCTATTTCATGTTTGCTCTGGACGTTACACTCGTACCTTATAGAGTCTCGTTATGATTAGGTTTGTATATCAAGGTTCATCCGTATTTTGTATCGACAGGTTTTCAGTTCTATTATTTTCCTTTCTTAGTAGTTTTTCAACATAATTGTCATTTATTAAAATTTGAGTGCCAGCCCCTGAATTGGGCACGTTTAGGGATTATCGCTGACCGTGATGCTGTCAAGCTTTCATTGGTTTCTTGCTCATGTCATTATCATACCTTACAGGTTTGTTTTTTTCCACTTAGGTGATCAACAGGAAATCCCTAAACTCATTAGGAAAGTGCGTTCGTTACTCTCATTGTCAGCAAGCCCGAACGTTAAGTTATTTATTAAGCCTTTTTCGCAATATTTGGCGCAGTTAGAGTGGAGTGCGGTTATGTTGTAGCTATGTTCAGCAGCAGTCGGAAAGTGATGCTGTAGAGGAAAACATATGATCGAGCTGCTGCGAAAAATAAAGAATCCCGAAATGTAATCAAATGTAAATCAGGGCCGAGTTGTTCAAGCTGAGTTAAGATAACTCAGGGTTAGTGCGAAATTTGAATTCAGAAATAAAAGCTTAGAGAGTAATTTCAGTTTTATTCTTTTTGTCAACAAGTTGATGATTGGATGCTCTTAAAAATAACAGAGAAAATTATCCGAGAAAATGTTTTTGAACAAAAGAAATAGAAACCCGGGTTAAATTTAACCCTGGGTTAAGCGCTAATCGGCCTTCGAACAACTGGGCCCAGATACCTGGTACCCCTTCATTTGTCATATAAAATCAGCTTGTAACAGAAGGCCTACAAACTTAAAACTGATTTCTTATATTACAGATTAATAGTTCAAAATTTTACAAAAAAATTCCTGTCCTTGTTTTCAAACCCTTTTCTCGTGATCTTTAAACTTCGGCATTGTAAAATTAATTCTTTGCATAAGATCACTTACTTGCATAATTTAAGTTGCACTCAAAGCCATCCCCGATAAAACCTTGTTGAAGGTCACAAATGCAAGTGAAGGAACCACGATTATTCGAACAGGTGGCAAAACGATGGCAATAATATTTGTCCCTGCTGCACTCATTCAGATCTGTAATGTACGAAAGATACCAAGTTTAGTTACTGCAATTACAGCAGCTATCAATTCTTTAATTACCGTATTTATTCGATTAAACGCCGCCCTCGAATAAACGCCACGTCATGATGCGGTGTTTATTCCAATAATAGACTCAAAAAGTAAATGCATGAAATAATAAGCCTGAAAAAAACATTTTCTTTGATTTTAACAATGCTTTAAGATCAGTACATTCGAAGCTCAAAGGAATAAAATTAACTTTATTCACTTTATGTATTCCAGTAGTATATTAACATGCAAATTGTGAAATTGAGAAAGATATAGATAATGACTTTAGTCAGACAAGCACTAAAACATGTTTCTTTTTTTAAAGTTTAAATGCTCAGTTACCATACTATTGTTTTCAAGAAATAAATGGATATTAAATAAACGCCGCACTCGAATAACGAAAAATTTAACAAACGCCCCGGCGTTTAATCTAATAAATATAAGAATTTTGAATTATAATTAGAAATTGTTCATAAGCTTGTCATTTACTCATTTGTTTCAGTTGGCGTTCAATTTCATCTATGGTTTAAATTTCTTTTCTTTTCTTTTGGAGTATGTTATTCAGGTATGATAATGAGTTTGAAAAAAGGGAAATAAAATTTAAACCAAGGACAAAATTGAACTACAGCGGGTCATATTCCGCGGTGTAAAAACCTGTGAACCTCACCAATGACGTAAAACAATTAATACAAAGAAGCCACTGCTAAGTCAACATAATAAAGCCAAGGGAAATAATTGCTTAAACAAGCATCCTCGCGAAGACGCGAGGCTGAGAGGCGCAAGCCTAATAGGGCCGTACGAGATAGTTCCTAGGGGCAGAAAAAAACTCGAATCGATGTAACATATAGTAATGTAAGGCAACATTTACGACGTAATGCAGAACAGAGAATGCATTGTTTTCGAGGGAACACGTGATAGTACAGAACAGAGAATCCACGAGTCGTGTGAGTGCTTGTGAGTCCTGTGTGCATCCTTCGTGTTCATTCAACCAAGTATAGTGCAATGTACACATACATTAAATTTTCTAAAACAGGCTGCAATATTAAAAATATTGTAGGCTGTTTTATTTAGCGCGTTTAGTATATATTCCCCCTGATAATTTCCCTACTGACAAAAGGACCGCTCCCATTTTCCACAGACAGTTGTTTTGGCATCTTTAAGACTGCAATCGTTGATTTGATGAAGAGAGAGAACAATAGAATTTTATGAGGATCAGTAATTATTATAGTGATAGGACTGTACTCATGCGTGAGGTACTCGCCTGGCAGTAGGATGGTATATGAGTGCCCCTTGCTTTAAGGTCGCACCCGTCTCAAGGTAATTCTCGCTTATGCGATCGAATTAAGTTCAATCTATTTTTTATAAATTACTGTAATTCATGACATTTCTAAAAACACTGAACAGTGCGCGCGTATTGCTGGTTTTAAGTGTCACGCCATTCAAAATAGATCAAAATAAAAATCAAAACCGTTCAATAGATAAAGTCCAGATCTGCGAAATGAAAGGACGTACATATACAGAGACCCTCGCCAAGATTCAGGTCAGAGGAATATTTCGTATACGAGCTCGAGATATCCGAAGAAATGTTTTACCCAAACTTATAGAGACTTAAATAGTATAGAGACGCCTTGCTGGTGTCCACCTGGATGAGCTCCAACATGGCGGACGGAAACCAACCCCGGGGGGGTACTGCCATATATGGGCTATATGGGTATGTGCCGCTGTGAAGGGTATGGTTTTCAAGCAGTTTACTCTAGGATAGGGTATATAAATCAGAGCGTCTGGGTCTAGAATAGGGTATCATTTTTCACGAAACTGATCAGTTGGTTGAAGATTTTGTCTAGACTAGGTAAACAGCTACTCTAGGATAGGGGGATTTTGGGAGTTTACTCTAGTATAGGGTAGCAAAATTCAGCTAACCTAGCTCTGGTATAGGTCAAGGGTTCCACGGTCCCAGCGGCACATCCCCACCCCGGGAAACCAACAGAAACATCTGTTACCGAGTTTTGCTACGGAAGGGCGAATTTTTTCTTCGAGAAACTCATTCATTAAAGTAATACTTTTTCTAATACATGAACTGTTTAGATAGCAAAATTTCCTGAGATAAGTCATTTTTTTAACCTACATGACAGCTCTCTTGGCCGTCATGTAAATGCCGCGTCACGCAAAAGCTTAGAAATTCAAGCGTACTCTATCACAAAATCAAGAACCCTTTTGAAGCGAAAATTTGTATGAAAATTAGTTTTCAGCTGCTCTAATTCATCGTGAAAGCAAAATCACGGTAGGATCGATAGTTTTTTAGTTTCAATTTTAGTGATGTCATGTGAAAACCAACAATAAGTAAAAGCTTTGCTCGTTGGCACTTAGCGATAGCTATAACTAGTAGCTACAATATAGAAAACAAAGAAAACTTCACAGGTTTTAACACCAAGGATGACCCACCGCAACATATCCATCAGTTCTCTCATTGCATCACTTAATTATTTTTTTTCAACTCTTTTGTTTGCCTCTGTTTAATGACATGATATCATTTAATCATGTAATTTTTCAGAGATAATAATCTCTTTTTATGACCATAACCTTACACGTAAGCATACATTAAAAACTATACCTTTCTTGCAAGTATACTGATGACAGCCACTGCATTTCACGTCATTCCATTCGTATTTGTATTCAACACCAAGTGTATGTACACAGTCTTCATCTCGAAAATTGTTGGGTTGGTTTTTGGCCCAAGCTGTAAAGTTCCCAGTACCACGATCTGCCCAAGTAAAGGAGCCCTCTGTGAAAATATCATTCAATCCCAGCCAGGATTTTGCTCCATTGTGAAGATGCTGTAAAAACACATTTTCTTCATTGTTTTGGACATCAATAAGAACTGAGTTTTCTTGTCGGCATTTATCCAGTGATGTGGTCCAATTTTGACAAGTCTTACTTGTGAAATAGCAAAAGCCGTTGAAATAGTTCCAGCCAGGATCACAAATATCTGACAAAATGTAAAAAGAAGAAAAGATTTAGATTGCTGATATCAGTATAAATTATTATATAATAAATATGATTATGGTCGGATTGATAGATATTGTTTATCCCTAGCGGCACTTTTGTAGGAGTATTGTTGCAAGGGTGATAAGAAAAGATAATTAAAAATAATTAACGTTTTTTTCGGGGCAACGAGTAGACCATCATCATTATTCTTATCTTGAGGAGAGTAGGAGTGGTGTCACAATGATGAAAGAGGGATCACTTTTTCAAATTAGAGTAAAAATTCTGAAGCAACACTAACTTTTAACGTTTGTTCGATGCATGATGGTTTTCATTTCGGCAACTGAGGTCTTCTGTCATTATGAGTTATTAGGGACCTTAAGATTCTGCGACGGCGACGACAATGAGAACGGCCAAAAAGCAATAGGTTTAATTATAGTAAAACAACAACTATGCACGTGCCATCACGCTTTTTTTCTACATTTCTTAGCCGTCGTTGCACGACTACAACGTGGAAATGCCTAGTTTCATGTTTTTTAGAAGACGTAAACAAGCAACGACGAAATTTTCCTTCTCTTTCTCGGCTTAACTGTTATAAGGCTCTTAGGAATTCAACTTCAGGAGGAGTAGCGTACTTTCGACAAAGTAAGCGAGATGGAAAAATCGCGATGAAGATTGAAAACTCCGAATTCACTTTTTAAGCGACGTTTTACCTGCCGTCGCCGTCCTCACATCTTAAGGTCCCTAATTTCTTTGAGACAAGGACCTCAAAATGGTACCCTGCTGCTAGCAGTAAATGGGGAATCGAAAGTAGAAAATTTGAACAAAAAGCGACTGGAATTTTGTTACCCTCTTGACTCTCACTCGGCATGACTCGCAAACCATATGCTTGTGTTAGTTTAGAGCACTTCCAAAGTATTTATAATTCCTCATGAATCGGGTAAGATGTTTGCCAAAAACTACTTCATAAAGGAGTTCAGTACTTATTACTGACCTGTAAGCACAGCATAACTGACGGACAAGGGGTCATATCTGGTCCCGTATAATTCCTTGACACAGACTCTGAATCCAGAGGTATTCATGTTCTGAAAAAATAAACACTTAACGTAGCTGGTACATTTTATGCAGTTGTAACCATAAACAACTGGGTTAACGTGGAGTGAATGTTAGAATAGTCTCTGAAATTAAACCTTTCTCCTACAGTTTTTTTATGTGACATAGAAATGCAAACATATTCGCCGTAACTGAAAACCGTGGTTTGATGAAAGCTTGCAAAGACCGCTAGAAAATTAAAAGATTGGAAGGTTTAGAAATAACAAAGTTATAAAAGCTAAAAGGAATTAAAAGGTTCAAAGGTTATCCAAAATATCCTTTTTTCCCCTAATAATGGGTATGATGGTGGCGCAGGAGCTATAAGGCCCAAAACAGTCTGGCTAAACCTTGATCCCCGTTGATGAAGACAGCAAATGACTTGTTCCAAGAAAAAAACTACGGTAACGTTTAAACCCGAACCGTCAGATTTAAAGTTTGAGACCACCGCGGCGCCTGAGTATTTAAAAGATATTATTCAAACTTCAATGAATAATACCTACATAATTACATTCGCGATCGAAAACATGAAGTTAGCCAATAAGCAATCTCAAATTTTCTTGGTCCATTTTGAGCCACATCTATTATCGACCTATACATCGCCTCAAGCGTGACTCCGTTCAGTTTTATCTTTCGTCGAGCTTCGGTTTAAATTTTTTTTTTGCCAGGACACATCCCTACACATTCGCCCCCCTGACGGAAACTTTTACCTCGATCCAAGTTGTAATTCCGTTGTGGATCGGTGCTGAATTCCCAGATACTGTCGTGCTGTGATTGGCTGAGACAAGCACTGTCGGAGTCGAGTTATAAGCTCTCGTGAATGTGACGAACTGCCATGGAAGAGAAACATACAACGTTTAACACTGTTTCCTTTAACTTTAGTTACCTTCGGTTGTGTTTATTTTTGAAGTCACGGTTGGACAAACAATATTTGCGATTAATCATTTTAACAGAACGAACTGCCCTTTTAATATTTTTGATTAACGTTTTTCAAACATTATTTTGTGAACCAGCTTCTTAGCTTTTCTGGTTACTTTGATCTCTACCCCGTACAGTGTATATGACTATAGGTGTTTTGAAGATATAAACAGTGATGTAAGTAAGCTAAATATTTGTGACGGAAAATCCTGTGAATAGCACGCTTATGCTTATAATTTTGCATAGAATTCTTTTCTCACCTCACAATAAGCATTGTTCATTTTATCCGAAGGTGGGTTCGTATTTGGAAAACTTATGACGCCATGTTCAGTGAAAAGAGGCTTGTGCAGTTTGGAGAAGGCAAACCAGTTCTGTGAAAAGAGGAAAAAACAAAAACGATGCCACAGAAAATTTATTTAAAATCAACTGCATTTTCAGGGCCCTTTCAGTGAACCTAAGCATTTTGAACTCTATAAATTTGTGAACTAACAAAGAGCGCAAAAAGTCAAGGAAAGGATGCAAATCCACAATTTTTTACGACATCGGGGGAATCGCGTAAAAACGTCAGGAAGGGAAGCATGGGGACAAGGCAGACCAATTTGCGTGCTATTTAAAATTCACTTCTTGTAATGATATTCAGTTTTTTTTCTTCTTTTTCTTCTTTTCGTTATTATTATATTTCTGTTTCTTTTTAAGTTTTTCTTTCTGCAGTTCCCTTCTTTCGACTGAACCATCACTCGCCCGGACGATCTTTAAAGTTATCAACGCCATTTCATCTTACCCGCCCTGTTATGGTTAACAGACCAACAATCCTCACAAATTTTGCAGACATTCGCGTTCCAGTTTCTAAGAAAATCACTAAGAACGTACCACAGTGATATCTTGGTGTCTACCGTCAAAGTTTTGCATTTCACGAAGACAGACTTTAACTGAGTCCTTAGTTACGTCCTCAATCCAAATGAGAGCAGCATCATACTCTTTACCAGTCCTCAGGTGCTCTGACGTCACAAGGACTATTGGCGCCTCATCAAACTTGCCCTGAAGAAAAAGCCAAAAAAATACGCAAAAACAACTGAAATCTAGTTAAGATGAATATTGCTGCAAAAATTACACGCAACTAATCACTGAGTAAGTTCCCCTTCTTATTTATTACCTAACCTTGTCTTGTTATTTATTGTAGCAATCGTCATTTTTCTTCTTAGTTACCTCGTAATGATCCGTTATTTTTTAATTTAAAGACAGCGTGGATTAAAGCTGTCGGGTGAATGAAAGTCTAACATTTGCCATGGGGACTTGCATCAATTAATCTCTCACCGTAGGAAAAGTCACATCTGCGCAGTTGGTACCAGACCACCATTTCTGCAACTCAACCGTTCCCGTCAATCCTTCGGGTGGGGCTCCTTGATAAGCCACCCAATCAATGGTGGCAAATGGATTCGCAGCTTCTTCTTTCCTCCCGGTTTGCATGACACAGACGGTGAAGTTTTTTGTGTTGATACTTTCTGTCCATGAAGTAACAGCGTCGTGGACTGTCACAGAGTCATTGAGCTTCATGTGATTGACGGTTATTTGAACATGAACTTGCTTATCCGGATAAAACCGGTATGGAGGAAATGTGACTGTCTGACAGTTTGAATCTGACCATTTTGGAACCTGTAGCAGATCTATACGGCCCCGTACAATTGGAAAACCTGTTTTATAATAAATTAAGTACTTTATAAGGAAGCATCACTGTACTCTTTAAGCATTATCGCTAAGGTCGTAGCTTCATTAGCTTGCGTTGTCGTGTAACTCTAAGTGGTGAAGGGTGGTAATAAAAAAAGCGTGGAAATTGAACTAGAACTAGTAGGCTATAACTTGTAATGTCGGCTACCCTCAACAATGAAATGTTTAGTGGCTGCTTATTATTGCATGCTGGTTGCTGGTTTCAGTGCCCAAGATAAACATATGCCAGTATAAAGATAAACATGTGCAATACTGGAGGAGGCCAACAAAAAAATTAGAACTCAAAAGCGTACGTGATGACATGTACGCGTGGGAGCGTGCGCCACTGCGCGAAATATTTGATTTTCAGCAAATTTACTCAGTGCTAATAAGGTGCAAAAAAAAAGTGCAAAAGAGGATGAAATCAAGGGCAAAGATAATAAATACTGCATTTGCCCTCAAATATGCAAATCGATGTAGACTGGTATGTAAATGTGATATTTACCACCCTTTTCTTTGACTTCGTTTCCTCCTCTTTTGCACTTTTTTGAACCATATTTGCCCCGAGCAAATTTGTATAAATCTAATTTTACGCGATAAAAACTAGATTGCAAGGCAAAAGAGAATAAAAGATCTTACACAGATAAAACATCGGCTATAGTCTGGGCTGTTATATGTTTGTTTGCCAAAGTAGAGAGACGAAGTAGCTTGTTACAGCTGTCTATTGTTGCTTAGCCTGCGTGAGGAGTTAAAAGTGAGCTTAAAAGTAACGGAAAGTTATAAACATCCCATAGCTAGAAGCCAAATTGAATGCAACTTTGAGCCAACAACTATAATTCTAAGCAATCGAGAGCTTTAAAACTGCCAGACTATCTTATGTGGTATATACAGCCAAAAAAATCTTTGAAAGTAGTTTTCGTTACCTTCACAGCTTCCTGGGTGATAGACCATATTATTTTCAAGTCCTCTGCAATAACTTAACTTATGCCAGCATCGGTTGTCGTAAGTTGTTCCATTCGCAGTGCACACTGGGTCTTTATATGAAGGACATTGGTCATCGCACTCACACCGAGCGTCATGCGCACTGTAGGTTCTGCAGACTCCAAATCGAGGGCAATGCATATTAAGGCAAGGATTAAGATCTGCACCAAGAATAAAAAAAACATAAAAATATTGAGTGGTTATCTATTCGGAAAAAACATAAATTTCTAATACATTTTTCATATTTGAATTAAACCTAAATAGCAGTGACATGTTTACATACCGGCAACTCAACCAATTATTTTTATCGTTGGTAGACCTTATTAACGATACCCGCCATCTTTGCACGCGCTTAAGGCTGATGATATAAATTAAAGCAGTGTTACGTGGTTTCTCAGGGGACAAACAAGAGATAAAATCTGCAAATACAAATCACACAATAGAAAAGAAGTTTCAACAATAAAAACGAAAATCGCAAAATATGGGTGGAAGTGATTTTGAATGCAGTACGCGACAGTAGAAGTCTTCACAGCAAGGAATTATGACGTAAAACTTGTCGAACTTTACATTTTGCATTTTGCATGACTAGAATCGTCGTCTTATTTTGAGGGAATAAACAAACTCGACCGCGATTACTCGATTACTCGTCTTGGCAATTTTGATACTTCTCTGCCCTCTAATTGCTCTTATCCCATCAATCCTTAAGTGCGTGCAAAGGTAGAGTGTAACATGAATAAGGTATATCATTGTTTGTACTCCAGCGTTTCGTTAATTGTATCATCATGAAAAGTTTTCCTACAAATAAAAACTTCTAAAAGATATCAATAAAAATAAAAACAACAATAATAATAATAATAATAATAATAACAATAATTCTAGAAATAGTGATCATTACAATAAGAAAATTAATTAACAACCTCCAGTAACAGCGTAGCTGACAATCAAGGGATCATGACTCGATCCTAATCCACTGAGGTCTTCAACGCATATCCTCATAGATTCTAATCCAACCTACAGCAAATCCATAAGCAAAATCCATAAGCAAAATCCATAATTTCTTCTTAATTTCTACGAAGACAATACAAGTCATGAAATTTACGGATCAGATCCAAATTATCTGTTTCTTATGGCTCTTTCTCGGTCCTTTTATCAGTTTACTAGAATATACGGATTACTTCTCTTCCCTTATTGAACAAGAATATTATCCGGTGAGGAAAACCCCATTTCGCGACACAATTAATTGCTGGTTGAAAAGACGTCTGTGGAACGAGTGAAGAAATCCCATAATGATGACTTTGCACTTCCCAGATCAAGATACTGCTCCTGATTGGTCGTGCCGCAATGGAAGTTTTCTAATCAACCAATCAGAAGCACTGCATGCCCAGGTGACACATCATCAGTATACAATTTTTGCTATCGTCCATCAGACGTCATTTTGTGGAAAAATTAGTGGTGGCGTAGCGTGAAATGCCGGCTTTTTTCTCAGGTTAGAATAAAAATTCAAACCTACCTCAACCCAGGACGATATTATATTATTTTCTGGAGGACGGCTTCCCTTGGCCTTAAGATTATACTCATGATTTACGGAAAGAATCACAACTGGCGATTTGTAAAAGGTCGTATTGAAAGGTACTTCCTGTAAATAGGTAAAAAAGTAATGTAGGTTAGTAAATGGATGTGAACGTGCTCACTTCTCTCTCTATTTTTGCCCATCGTCTGTAAAGTCCCCACTTCTAATGTTCGCCCACTCAACAAAGCGAAATTGAAGTGATTCGAAATATAAAATTCTCGCAAAGTCGCGAAATTTAAAAAACCCAAAATCATTCTCAGCGCACATTCAAGTCGCGAGATAAGCATGTCGCGTTCATCTGGGAATTGCCATTTTGGATACATTGTCGATCACCATGATCTGGTAAATTTAGGTTTACTATATTAAGTTTTCTCTAGTGTGACCTCAACCACCGAAAATGTCCTGTGGCTTGCTAAATGTTCTTGTTAGAACTAAAGTTTTCACCTGACAGAAGCCATAGTTGTTTTTGGCCGATGGATTTCCACTGTTTGGAAAGATTTCTTCTCCAGTTATTGTGAAATTAAGTTGACTCCCATTTCCAGTGAATGCGAACCAGTCCTGTGGACAAGAAAATAATGTTTAATTTGCAAGACGAGTTGCGTCAGGCATCGAACGGCACTTCCTTTAACAAGAAATGACTGCATGAGACACGTGAGACAGGACACTGACATTAATTGTGTTACGAACGTTCTAGGTAATTGGTTGTCCGGGCTGCCGAAGTGTAGCAAAGTCAAGTTATTTATTTATTTATTTTTCATCAATATTATAGTGTACTCGAGCATTTTTCTTCACTTACCACAGCTGCACCTTGGTGCTTTCCATCAAAGGGCAAGAATTCTCTTAAGCACACTTCAAATCCTCCAGAATTGACGTTTTCTAACCATAAGTACATAGCATCATTTGGCTTAGTACTGCGAGTGTACTTAACAGAGACAAATACACGAGGCTTGGAAGCAAAGCTCTGCCAAAAAATGTTAGATATATGAAAAACTATTGACTAAAAAATACACAAGCTTCTCGAGATATAAATCAACATGATCGTATCAATGAAGTGCTCAGTGGCACATAAATGAAATTAAGGATTTATCAAAGGCTAATGGGAGCAGATTAATTAAATCTTGACTACTTGTCTATTCACATGGATTCAATTTTCTACCCCTCTTCACCTCTTTCTACGAAGTGTTGAAAAGGTTGTTCAATGCATCTTATTTGGCCCATTACTTAAACAAAGCTACTAACAGCAATGTTTCTGTTCGGCTAACTTTGTTAGGTTTAATGCCAAAAATTTAACATCATTAAATAAATAGACTTCTATTTTCCCAATTCCCTTTGATACATCAATACAATCAAAACGGTCAAGCATTATTCAATCACTACTTCTAAACATAGTTATTAGAGGAGACTGGTTATGAAAAGCGGCAAACATCAATGATAAATTAACAATTTACAGTGCTGCAGTTTATGTTGGAAGCACCCTGAACGCGCACAATCCTTTGTTTTCTGTTGGCAAATTGTTACAGAATAAATTAATGCAACGTTTTTATTGCTCAAAACAATCAAAATGACAGGAATGCTTTTGAACGTTGTGCACATTCAGGTCCACAAAAACATATAACAAAGGAGTCTGACGGGTTTCATAACCATTCCACTCAATTAACTATGTTCTAAAGTAAAACGTAAAAATGGCTTGTCTAAAGGCGATAGAAGGAAAAGTTTGAATCTAAGCCCGAGAGCAAGCTTAACAAGACTTTTAGCAATGCACTTTCCCAGGCCCGATTATCCAATAAGAACAAATTCCGGATATTGAACTAAAGATCATTTGTTTTAGAACTATAATTTCTGATACTATTTCATTTGTTTCTACTATTTAATTTCGTTTTACACCTTGATAACAAAATTATACACTTGTTATCAATTATTGTTATCTAACCTGAGAAAAGGCCACCTTCTCACACTTGGTTTCTGTTGTCCATATTCCATTAAAAGTAACGCTTCCATGCGTTAACATGGGTTTTTCCTGAAACGCTACCCAGTTGATAATTCCAGTGTCATTTGTAGAACCTGTTGCACGCGAGCATAACTGAAATCCAGCTGTACTTATGGACTCTGCCCACACAGCAGAAGGCGAATGAGCAACTGAAGACTGATCTTCGTGGCTTAATGACACAAAGACTCGAACCTGAAAAGATAAGCATGAATGAAAATTTGCAGGCGACAATTCAACCGTAGATTACGAACAGTCTCTCTTTTTTCTTCTACCTTGATCAGTCCGGAATATCCCTAAATTTAAGGACAGTTGTGACGTCATGGAGCTATTTTTCTCGAGGAAAATGGCGGATAGATTACCTAAACCATCACAGTCACCGTTTCGAGACTCTCTGGCATATTTGTAAGACTTTTCATGAGGCATACACAATTTTTTTAAGTGGACAGCGTATCGAAAGTGTCTCGTGAAATATTCAGCACATTTTTTGGCTTATTTCTTCTTTTAAACAACACGATGTAGGAGAGATTTTGGTCGGTTTTCAAGGTAGGTGAACAAGTATCTATTATTTTTTGATTTACAGATTTTTTACGTCGTTCTAGATATTTTTCCTTAATTGTCATATCCATTAACGTTTATCACGTTGAACGTGAGGATAGTAGACAACCTAGAAGAGGGTCTGGATGGGGTTAACTGACAACTGACAACTCACAAATAGCCGAAAATTTAACTGACTACTGACATTTGCCTTGGGTTTTACTGTCAACTGACAAAGGACCTGACAGTCCTTTATTTTCTACAAAACTTGTTCTTAAGGCCTTGAATAGCATTGTTCCATTCTTTTTATCGTATATGATGTGATCAAATGTGCGTTTTTACGGGTAATCTTAGCAGCAAGACGCTTAAAATCTCATGTGTGTCATGTACCATCTGCAAATGACCTATGATTTCAAATTTACGTTTCTCTGAGAACGCGCCAGCATACGATGGCTGCTCAGAATGATGGCGTTACAAAGGCAATTGCAGGGTTTTACTGAGATGATTCAGAGACGGTTTTCTTGGTCTTCTTACGATCTACGTCCCAATGTTATACCTGCCAGCTTTTTCTGAGTCAAATGCGTGAGATTTTCACCTTGTCATAAACAAGATTTCTCGAAACGTCCCGGCGACTTCCACAGATTTCCGACGAATTACCGAAGACTTCCGAACGTTGCCGAAAGTTAAATGTCCGCAGATGTGCTAGAAGACCTGACGTTTGAGCACTTTCGAAGCTACTTAAAAGACGACACTTTTAGCGTGCTTTGATATGATTTCGTTAGAACACAAAAAAGGACACAGTCATCATGTGTTAAGAAGAATTTGTCCGGATTTGAGAGTCACATGTGAGAAATTGTCCTTGATGCGTGAGATCGAACGTGTTCCACTCCCAGGTTTCACGCAGACATGGAAGAGCCGTGTTACTACTTTTTTTCGCATTAATTCGAGCCTTTGCCTTTTTTCTTTTCAAGGCCAAAACAACTTTATTAGTCTTATGGATATTCACGTCCAACATGCATCTCGCCTCACTTTGCCGAATTTGCGGGGATAAAATTAAAGATCATAAGCGCAAGGTAGTTATTAACCGCTTTGTTTCTGAAATTCACCAAATCAGGATAGATTTATTGTTGTTGGATTCTCCAAATGTTCATCCACAGTTAAAAAAATCAAAGAAAGAAGACAAATTTCAACTGTAAATGATGTAATTCGCTACACATTAAACATGCACTGATTATCTGGGATAAAATTAAAACATTGCAGGTACGGCAACAAGCAAAGAAAGCACCAGATGCGTGAAGTCAACACGAAACAACACAAAAAAACAAACAAGGAAAATTAATAAATTTGAACTACTTTTTATTCTTGTTATGATCACTGGTTCTTTGATTCTTGTTCTGTAGAAGTTAATAGGTAGTACCATTCCTGTTTTGTACGATCTCAGCAAATTTTCAAGTTTGCTTCTATCAAAAATCTTGCAAGCCAAGTCAGTGAATCCACGACCTCTGCGATCGGTCCAGAATCAGTTCGAACACCCCAATGATTCCTTGCAATGAATAATACTCTTATTCTCTTACATCAAATGTTTTCTTTGAAATAATGAGAAACCTAGCCGAGTATTGTAAGCTTATCTTAAAATCTGTCCGACTCTGTCCGCTGTTGTGAAAATTTTTGATCACTTGGTCGATGTTTTGATAAACACAAGCCCACCTTCTACTTGGTTGAACTACTACTAGTGTCGCGTGACCATTTGGCCCTGTCCTTAAATTTAGGGATATTCCGGACTGTTGATCTGTCTGTCGCGCGAAACGCGCGAGAAACGCAATTGACCACGCGCGTGACTGAAGGGGCGAGACTACCGCCCTCGTTTCTCGCGTTCGTCTGGTGGTTTCAATGCTCGTGCGCGCGTGCACTCCTCACACTAAATCTGAAGAAAAAGAGGATCTAATTCAACCCTACATTCCCGGCTCCATTCCAAGGATTAAAGATCTTCTAGCCTATTTTTATTGTCAGAATTCTCTGGATTTTTTGCTTTGTCTTGTTTTGTTTTGTTTGAAAACACTCGCATCCTTGGGATTAGGGAGCACTTGAGCACACCTATGCGCACTAAATTGTCTGAGGTCATAACATTACAAAGGCCGCTATGCTGGCAAATCAAAATTTGTTAAAAACATTAGTTTCTAGAGAAGCTTATTGTGTTCTGCTAACACATGAAAGTTGCCACCAACCCTTAAGATTAGACTACTGTATATCCTCGAAAAATAGCCGTCCCTCGATTAATCGCCTCCCTCATATAATCGCCCCTAACCCCCACCCTTCTCGCTATCTTCTCTTTTTTTACCACTTCCCTGTCGAGTTAAAAAAACAAACAAAGCTGAAGTGGAATCTCATCCAGCAAAACTGATCAGTGACGATTCAAGCTCTAACGCCAAGGATATTGAAACTGAAAAATAACCAAGGAACAGGATTGCTCCTGACAAGGGACCATCTTTTGAAAACTTATAAAGTCCATGTTTAGTATATTTTGAAGTGATTATTTCTTTATTTTTATTTAACGGGTAACAAAATAAAATATTTAGGGATCGACTTCCAGTGACCAATATTTGAAATAATCGCCTCCCTCGAATAATCCTTCGAGGCTATTATTTGAATAAATACGGTAATTTTTAATTGCTTAGTGTTTACTTACTGTTCCAGATCCACTAAACGTTTGCGGAAATATCACGTTAGTGCAGCGTGGCAGTGTACAATGTTGTGGCGCCTCACATCCACTGTTGCAATTCCATCCTTGACGTGTCTCTGATGCGTTCAGTTTTCCAACCTGATAGGAAATGCCTGTAAAATAGAAAAAAATGTCTCAATGTAGTGTAGGTATGGGATTGAACGAGACGGAGTGTTGGTTGAAAAGAAATGAAGAGAGGCTAGGGGTGTGTCTGTGTTTATTGAAAGGCGAGGAGAGATAAGCAACTTTCTTATGTTATTAAAATGTGAGGACAGAAAATTAATTCTTCTTCATTTAGTGAAGTTCTGTTGGAAAGAAATATCACCAAAAGTTGTTCTTTTGCAAGGACATTGTGACTTTTCTTTTCATTTAAATAGGGTGTAAAAACGTAACTTGGCCTACGGTTCAAGTCTAGAGGGTAATAAGCGATTCTACTTTGGCGTCATAGGGAAAAGAAATATGCGCTTAAAAAACGTTGCCTAGCATTTTTTCACTTTTCATTTCCAGGCGAGGTGTAAAATCTTTGCCTTGTCGTTATGTGAAGAAAATTTAGGAAGAAGAAGTTTATATATACAGATATTTTTCATTTCAATTACTCAACATCAAGGAGGGAGGGGAGGTAACTCTATTGTTTTATTCCTAAGTTTCTTGACCCACTCTGCCTGCCAG